AGGCAACATTTTGATGTTTTCTGTCTTATCATTGTTTACTTTAGAAGACCAAGTCTATGTGTAAAATACACGCTGGCATTACTTGCCAGTATATTGTTTGGAAAAAAGTAGATAGAGATGAAAGGGAGAAAACAAAGGACCGATAGAATGAGATAGGAACGGATCCGGTACCTTGAATAATGAGATGTAAGTAAAATAATAAAGAAGTGAGCGAATTATTAGCGAAAACGGTACAATAAAGCGCGACTATGCAGGCCTTTTAAGTTGTAGACAAAAAAGCGACTCACACAAACAAGCGCTTCTGATTCAGAATGCCGGCAGAGATGGAAAAGAGGGAGATTCATCTGACGTTTCACTCAGAGAGCCCAAAGGGGGGACTGGAATAGGGACTCCAAGACAAATTTGAATAACACTTTCTGAAATTCTGATAACTTTGAGAATACTGAATAGAACGAATCTGAACCCCATCGGCACAATAAAGGATACTGAGACTACGACCCTCCTAATCCCTGCTGCAGACTATCGCTTATGTCCATCAAACTCACGTGTTATACCTTTTATAAAAGTTAGGAATAGCGATATAAAAATTTAAGAGGGGCATTTTCTTAAAATATTTTAGGACAACTATGAACGTCCATTCCCGCAAACGCATCGTCAACTCTTCAGATGATAACAAATGAAGGAAACTAATCAATGGACCGGTGTTACTAACAGTTAGTCTGGTTGATTTTCACACTGCTGCTAGTTACAGGGATGGACCTAAAAATCGCTGCGTGCTCTGTGAACAGTTCTTGGTGATGGGCCGTCTAGGTTCCACGACCTCTTGGAAATAACTTTAAAGATAACCTCATCTATGCGGTCTTTTGATGCACAGTCACGATGACTACAGATATCTTGGTCGACTTTCTCACACTTTCTCCACATTGAGCCAGTGCAAGAGCACATCGGGTCATCAGCAATGTGGGTGTGTCATATATATTAGATGCCATGGGATCGATATAATGGTTCATTGTAATCAGTCATTCAACTGATTCTCCTTTCCATAAAATCACAATTTGTTTTCGTCCCACTAGCTTCGAGCATACGACAAACTTTGGGAACAGTACAAAAATTGGACTAAAAAATTGACTTGTTTCACAGCAGATAAATGACGCGTTACTGAAAATGAATTGTTGTTTGCTTAACAGCAAAGAGAAATGCACCCTTCGACCTCAAAACGAAACCGTCTTATCAATATAGTTATCTAAGAATGCCTCCAAAAACTGGAAAGAAGTAATGTTTGGGGAACAGCTCAATGTTTTTTTGCGTAATTTGTGTCTGGACAGGAACTATTATCTGGTTTGCCAGTTCCTACAAATTACCAATGTAAAATGACTTGGTGTGCCATACAGCGCAATCATTGAGTCACAGGTTAGCTAATTAGCAGCTACCTTTCCCGAGGTGGTTTCAAGTCGCTTTCTGAAAAATTGTATTTCAAACAAACTAGGAACATTCCGTGAAAAAGAGCCAATGAATACTCAGCGATTTACCGGAAGGGAAAGGTAATCTATCGGAAGCTGCGTGCACAGTGACTAACAATATACGTGTGAGCCTTCGGTTTCACCACTCTACCACTTAGATACAGACAACACCAGGGGTTGTTGTAAAAGTTCAGTCCAGTTACGAACTGGCATGATGCAAAACCCATTTTTAACAACGAGCGATCCGCAAACTCTGAGTCCAGTTCAACTCAATTTACGTCCATCCAATTTAACTTCGCCCACATTTTTACCGCAGGATCAACTTTTGTTGCGTGCCTTTAACGGATGATGAACAATTTTTATGATGTCACGATGACTGGAAACCACGCTACTTAGTCCACTTCTTGAATAATCGCAGCATAAAAAGAAAATCATTGTTTGTTGGAATGAAACTGCTGGAAGTGTATTGTTCGAAAAATGTTCACTGACAAACTAGGAAAAAAGGATTTATTTTGTAGAATCGACTGTTAAATAAACTGTTTTTCAGTCCAATGGAACGTTACAAGAAATATAAAGATGAAAACAAGTCTTGTTATGCCAAAGGTTGATTTGTTGTACAGTTGATGTCACCCGCTACTGTGACCTCTAGAGACGTTCAAAATTGTTCTGCGACTCAGCAATTTAGATAAACCGCCATACGAGCAAGCAAACCAGCAGTGACTTTCTCCACAAGAAATAACATCCGATCCTTCTACCGTATTATACCTCACGGGGTATTTTTGAGTTAGCGATGGAATAATTGTTACTTTATCCAGGAGGTTGATTTCCATCCAAAACAGTGACCGAAAGACACCACGCTGAAGTAATGTACTGGTAGATATTCCCTTCTCCTTCGATTCACTTTTTTCTATTAAGCGCTCTTCAGACATGAGTGGAGGGTGCTGTGTCGAAGATTAAACCCACCCAAGTTTGAACTTCTTGCAGCACCAGCCGGAATATGATACCGTAAGCTCAACTAGTCCTCAATTATTCTTTAGGGTTTCTTTAACTTATTTAACATGTTTTTCTGAACAGATTTCTGATATGCTTAATTATTGGCTTTGGAGTTGTTGACGATGTGTCAGTGACACTTATGTGTTTAGGGTATGACAATTCTCCGAATGTCAACGGTACACCTTTACGCAAATAGTGGATATGGTTATGATTTATTTTGCTTTCCCAGTCAACTTGGACTAGGATCATGAACACACGTGGCCTACTGTTTCATATAATTGAAGGGGGGCGTGATTCTTTGCACATCATTTACGCAGTGGTGCAGGTTTTCTGGTATGTACCGAAAGAAGTGCTCTGTAAGTATTGAAAACGATACACGCACTTCTGAGTTAGTAGCATAGAAACGTCATCTAAAGCATTTTCACAGCTCCGCTGGCAAATCTCTACAGACGGTTGCTTCATCAGGTCCAGATCAATGAATCAGAACGCAACAAACCAACAAGGCGAAGGCGAGGGAAATGTTGATGACTGCATCGCGGAAATATTATACGGAGTTTCAACGAGTAGAAAACTCATTGACTAAGTGCATAGAAGGACGGAAACCTTTTCTTTACTTGCAAAAATACAAAATTGCTTCTACTGTTACTAAATTTTGGTAAAGCGTATTTTGAGTTTTCGTAAAGAAAACTACTCACAAGATTGCTGGAAACCCTTCGAGAGCCCTTCTTAAGGCTCATCAGGTAGGCGCAGTCCCCGAGTTTCCGTCAACCTTATCGTCCACTTCAACCCAAATTGGACTGCTTGTGGCAAATACACCGAGTTGCTAATCAATTTGATTTTTACGGGGGAATCTCTCGTTTATGATATTCTTCAACTGAATGTGCCTTACAGAGACCGCTCCGTGTTTCAGTTGATACGATATTCGAGATATCGCAGTATATTTTCATAAATGAAACTACCTGGTGGGCCCCAAAAACGGGTGAAGCCAGTCGTGTGCTGCCGACCGATGAGTAGCAACCTTGTGAGTAAGTCGATGGTATCGTATGGCGCATTGTTCATATCGAGTACGTGTCATAGTGAACATTTTGCGCTGCATATTTCAAGCAGTGCTTTCATATGAATAATGCCTGGATATACGTTTTGGACTATCACAGAGCTACTGTCTATAAATCGTCTTTGACACTCATTCTCTCATTTTATCAATAAAGTTATAATCTTTGTTCACTGTCACCCAAATGAAGCATGGGAGTTGAGATAGTACCAGAGGGCTCAAGCCCTAAAAGTAGCAATTAAGATGCTGGAGTTGTATCCAGTCAATTCGCGCCTTAACCGATAAGCCATCTTGAGCTGCTTTATTTAGCTTCCCTGGCACAATCAAATTCAACAGCTTTTTTAAATCTTCTCTTCTTTTGAAGCACTTGAGTCATTTTGTTCATACAGCTAGTTTTGTTGGGCAGCACTCTTTGATAAATTTTTTCTGGACGGGCTAAATTCACAGCCGTTATGTAACTATTTTAGAGTCCATAGATTCTATGATTTGAGCAAACCTTTAGAATACGCTGTTAATGTCAACAACAAGCCCTAAACAGATCATATTTTAGTTTTTTAAGATCGTCGTTTGTTGCTAACGCTAGGGAACTTGTCTCGAGATCTTTTATTCGGGATCCGGGCCTATGTTTTCACTTGGTAATTCGGATAATGCAAAACTTTGGTCGTGAGAGGTACAATGGCAAGCATGATACTGAGATAGCTAGATAGTTAGATTTTGGTTGATCTAAAACATTGTACGTGCGTGAGCATCATTCAGCTTCCAGCGTCGCCTAACAAATTTGTTCCTTGTTACATTTCCTAGTGAACAAAATGGCAATACGTCACCTTTGTGTTAGGCCCAATAGGAAATCGTCAACGACTTGAAGTATGCATTCCATTTTGTATAGCTGCGTTTGTCAGAAAGGACGCTATTAGAACAAAAATTTTGAAAAAACATTTAATTTTTAGTAAAATGATAGAAACACGAAATACGTCGAATGTACTGAGTGAATTTACAAAGCATCTTTACATTTTTATGGTTTAAACGGATTTTGCGATATCATTGTGGATTAGGATGTCTTTACTTTTAACATTTCAGTGCACCACTGTCTTGTAACTCAGCTTGACTCAATTGTTTCAAATGGGGTGATCCTTTTTACATACTCGTTTTTTGACAATGCAGTTTGGTGTATCATCGTACTTCTTCATAAGGAGTGGGTTCCTGAACCATAGAAATCAGACCTCATATTCTAGGTTTAGTTTACTTGCTAAACTAACTTAACCACAAAACAAGTGATTGTGTCTTCAGAGAACCTTACTAGAAGGCTCATTATGACAGTTAGACTAGTGCAGAGTAAACTGTTACATACTCTGCTTCGTCTGGATAAGGAAACCATAGAAACTACGCTTTTTCAAATAATTCTAATGTGCCAATCTAGACGATTGATTTGCATGTTATTAGTTTGCCCTTAATAACGTGAAATAAACTGTTGATTTCCTGTAAACCCGATTTCTCAGCTAAAAATTATTGGAACCGGAAGAGAAAGCACATCGGATGAAAAATCCAACAGTCCTGTTGGAAGCCGAAATATCAAGGGACTTTGGAAGCGAGCATTTCATTCTCTCCGGATAGACAAAGTAAGTATTTTATTATGCTGTGATCTTACGAACAGTAGTGAATAATGATTTTCATTCAGGCACAAAAAAATCAGAAGTAGTGTCGATTTCGGTGATTAAAAATGCAAGCTCTGTTCATACAGAAGGAGCACCCCCGGGTTTTCTCAGGAAATACCTTTACCGTAGTTTGTTAGGTGAATGAGACATTGGTGACATGTTTTATTGTCATCCATAAGGACAGAAAAAAATAATCAGTCTGCTAGTGCAGAATGCTGATTTTTTAACGGAATTAAACCCTTTTTATCAAACGAAATCTAACAGAAGAGTAAACGTATGCGACATAGTTTGTTTTTCACAACAATGATGTGCGCAAGTGAATACATTTTGCGAGGACAGTTTTTCCGATGCAGTATACTCTATTCTCCTTTGGAGATATGGGAACGGTGTTTTGGGCCTTCGTCCGAGAATGTTGAATTCTGAAATGCGACTGCAAAATAGGGATACTATACGGTATCCAATGCTCACACAGTTCGATCTGCATTAAGGTACAACTTTGTTGTTAATATTTATACGAACACTAGCTTTGATTGCCAGCCGGAAATTAGTTAGCATTGACGCTTCCTACATGATTGGTTATAGTTGCGTAGCAGCATAACGGCGCAACAGAAAAATGTGATTAGCTTGTCACTGGCATCCATCAACGCGTCTATCAAGATAAGTAGAAAGCTTTGCGAATTGGCAAATTGTGACCAGTCACTCAACCGGATATCGTGTTACGAATGACAATTTGGGGGCTATGGTTACCATATGTTAATAGGGATTGACGGCTTGGATTTGTTACCACGCACTGCCATTAATGGGATCTGTCTGGTCCTGTGATTTAAAAAAACGGCAGTTATTTACTGTCAGGAAATTTCAACGGATACGCTTCTGCCTCATGTGCCTATAAAAGTTGAATGCTCAGGCTTTGGCTTCAATCCATGTTAATATCTGTTCTAATAAATCTCCATAATAGGAGGACGCTAACTACAATACCAGACATGATTCTTTTAAAATTTGTCATGAGCTCAGTACTGAACTTTCTAAAGAATGTGGTGTCATTTTCCTTAACCGGATAAGTGATGGAAATCAAAGAGCTAATAACCCCTTTCAAAGACGCACTACGTCATTAAATGGAGTTTTTTTCAAGAATTTTCGGCTGAATGCTTTAGATTGGAAAAATTGCGATGCGTGAGATAATGTGCTCTGTTTAATAGGGAGATCCAAATAATATTTTTGAAAAAAAACACTAGGTCTCCTTTGAGCGCGCTTAAACTCTACGGAGAGCACAAATGCTACTGATGCCGGCTTGCAGCCATTTACTGGAAACTTCGTCAGCGATTCTGAAAGGCTGACTGCACAAAAACATTTTGAATAGCTTCGTAGATTTATTTACAACTTTCTTCACAGCCACATGTTGTTCACCCCACAATTTACGCCATTCAGAAAGAAGCATTGAGAATAACACTCATATCCCAGAATAATGATTAGGCATGTGTGACACAAGACTGAGCCACCACAGTTAGTGGTTTTGGAGTTTTTCGGTCACTCTTTTACGTGCACCGCAACCGGACGCCTATCCATTACTCACCAACGAACTCCTCAATACCGATAGCAGAGGCGTCTTTAAGGTATCCGTGATAAAAAAAGCGAAAAAACCCAAACTATCTGGATGTGATCTGACATCCCACCACCACACTAAAAATGGTCCCCAACAAAGCAAATCTCGAGACTCATTGGTATGTCTCTTTGATATTACACTTACGTGACTCGTGTACTGATTCCACCGGATATTTACTGTGAAGCTGATACAGCTTTCGCCGTTCAACTATTCTAAGAAAAAGTAAGCTCTTCTTCTTAAAAGACCTAGCACTTCTTGGAGTGAGACATGTCCTATTAGAAGTCTGTCAGTAAGACCGTTTAGTCCACAGTGGTTGTGTATTGTGTTGCCTTAATTCAAGGACAACCACTGGAGATTGTGGAGACCTTTACGTACCTCGGTAGTGGTATTAGCTATGACGGAAGTGTGTCTGATGAAGTCAGTGCAAGAATCTCAAAGGCTCGAATCACGTTTGCTAATTTGCGTCACTTGTGGCGTCAAAAAGGCATCTCACTGGATCTTAAGGGTCGTGTGTACCAGGCTACAGTAAGGGCTGTGTTGTTGTATGGGTGCGAGACATGGCCTCTTCGGGTAGATGATGTGAGGCGTCTTCAGGTTTTCGACCACCGATGCCTCAGAAGCGTGGCTGGTTGTGGATGGCGTCAGCGTGTCAGTAACGAGGCGATTAGAAAACGGGTAGTTGGTTGTGCTGCAGGCACCTCAATCCGGGAAAACATCCAGCATCATCGACTGTGATGACTCGGTCATGTTCTACGCATACCAAAACACCGTCCACCGAGACGAGTGTTATACTCCATGTCTTCTTCAGGATGGCGCAAACCGCGAGGTAGACAGCACATGACTTGGCAAAACGGCGTGAAAGAGATCACAAAGAGTTTGGGTGTTGTTGGTGTTGTGCGACTTCCAGGATGGGGTCCCCGTGACCCCGTCTGTGCTTGGCTGGAGATGTTGAAAGAAATGGCGGCTAATCGATGTCAGTGGCGTTCGTGTTGTCAGTTTCTTTCCAGAATTTCTGATTGAGCGGTTGGAGGTGTAGATACCTCAGTATGCTTGACATAGCCCAGCACTACGTCCCCTCCCTCACCCACTCTTTTTCTCTTCTCTTCTCTGTAGGGCTTTTAATACAATTATATACATATATATATATATATATATATGTGTATATATATTACCAGACGAACCTTATGGTCGTACGGCAGTGAAGCATGAGTGCCAACACTGATATTGCTGTTCTTGATGATGACGATGATGATGATGATGATGATGATGATGATGATTGTCTCACTGTCCTCTGAGTAATTCAGGCCAATGTTGTTTTTTACTGGCTACGTTTTTAACACTGGGCTGTTGAACACATTCAATCACTTGTCTCATTTTTCTGGTGACCAAAAATTGGACGAAATTGCAGATGGCAAGCTTAAGTGTTTGGTACCATTTCGTATGCAGAAGCCTTTGGAGATCTACCTTACAGTCTCACACGCAAAACTATGTGAATATGAGGACTGGATTATGTTCATCCACTTTCGCTACATCGCCTGTTGAGCAAGTGCATTTAGATTCACTGACCGATTGACATAACCAAACGGACGTTTGAAGTGAAAAAGACGCCAGCATTGAATATACAGTGTTGTTCTGCAATCTCACAGGTGGCAAAGACTCGGTTGACGCAGTATTCACGCAATCAAAATCCAGCTTGGTGTGCGAAAGTCACCGTCGTGCGTGCCACCATAGTAACAGTAACGCCCGATGCCTTGTTATAATGAGAGTTCAATGAAAGCTGCCGTGTGTCTGTTTATTGGGATTACTCTTCTTAAAAATGGGTACCTATCGAATCAGCCTCTTCGTTTCCTCTGAGATGGGCGCAGACAGATAAGACAGGCGCGGACATAGGACTTGAATACAATCCTTAAAGATAACAAGGAGAGGATCATCCGCTACAAGGGTAAGATGACGTTAGTGCAGGTACATAAACTCATACACTGTTGAGGTTGAAGGGAGTTATAAATTTGCACCCCATATTTAGGCTAAAGATCGGTAGTCTGGGTGGGAAGAGGCTAGAGGACAAAGGAATCGTTATTCGAATTATTCTACCTGGCGGTTCAACATTTTTTGCTTTCTGGACACCACGGAACAGTTGTGCTTCTTGATGGTTTTACTGACAAAGGGTTTCCGAGGACGTGGTAAATAGTTTTCAGGTATTTCTAGATGTTTCGGTTTCCAACGGTTTTTCAAGTTTTTGGCCTGCACGGACCCTTAGTTCCACTTAGTACTGGATGACAGGTTATGATCGTAGATGGGCTTTTGCCAGACACCCAGCAAAAGCTGCGGCGTTACAAGCTGACCACTGGGTTTATCTGTCTCCCTCCACCAAGTCTTGTAGCGTTGGAGACGTCAGTTCAGATAGAGTTTTTCGATCCACAAGGTTCTCGGTAGCCAGGTAAGTTGGGTATGTTTTGTGGCAAACCTGAGAGGTGCAGTGGAGAGCAGCTGCGGTATGACCAAAATCAACCTAGTTACTCCAGAACGAGCGGCAAGCTTTTCCTCTAATCTCCATCGGCACTTGATGTGTGTTTGTGATGTGAGTTACGTAGATATGCTTTTGCTTCTTTGAACTTGGTGATGCATAGGTACATTCGGTGTTCAGCAAACGCACTCGCGTGCGAACGTCTCCCGCGTGTCTGGAGCCACAGCTGAGCCAAATATTCCTTCATGCGCGTGCACATCACGCTTCAGAATGGCTACGGCTCAGTTTTAAGAATTTTCAAAGAAACATCTTTCCTTGTCATAAAACCCTCTTTCTTAGGTTCAGAGCTCTGCAAGGATAATCAATAAAGTCCTCTGTTTTCTGGAGTTCTTTCACCTTCCACAGACTTCATCAATGAATCCTTGTTGAGACAACTAACACGAATAAAACGATTAAGTAGAGCGCGTCCACTCGATGGCTCCATAGAGGACTTACATAAATGTGTGCAGCTCAGTCAGCTTGCGGTCCTCAAGAGTTGTAGTGCTGAAGACATCAACAGGGTGGTCAAATGAATAGCGACGCCAAATACTCAAAGTCGTGTTACAGCCATAAATTACATCAGTGCGCAGGGATCCAGCGTACTATTAAGAGCACCTTTCAGACTCTTAGGTGGGACGGCAAATTTCTTCAAGTAAATCGAGTTCTGTGTCTCGAAATTGATCTGGTTCTTACAACTGATTACGCAGCCGCAAAAGCTGCTTGTAACATTGGTGCAAAGCGTACTTAAGTTTCATTTCTGACAGTGAAACCTGAATTCAAATTATTTGTGATGAGATGGAACAGGTGAAAAGGAATGCGTGAAACTGTACGATCGGGGTGTTACTGGCACCTGCATTT